TTTTTTTTTTTTTATTGTGACTGTATTTCTACAAAAGTTAATTCCAGTTAGTTCAGCTTTTTAAAAGTTACCAGAGAATTTATTTTCTCGTTCAGGACACTTTGAAAGGAAATGCCTTAAATAATTATGCAGGTACAACAGGTGTAGCCTGAGATTTGTGGCTGTTCTATATAATGGGCTATGTGAGAGATTACATGCTTAGGGTGAGGCATACATTTTTAATTTAGCACAGAGGGTAGAGGCAGGAGGCTCAAAAGTTCAAGGCCAGCCAGTCGGTGGTGGTGCATGCCTTTAATCCCAGCACTCGGGAAGCAGAGCCAGGCAGATCTCTGTGAGGATCTCAAGGCCAGCCTGGTCTACAGAGCGAGATCCAGGACAGGCGCCAAAGCTACACAGAGAAATCTTGTCTTGAAAAACCAAAAAAGAAAAAAAAAAGTTCAAGGCCATAAAAACAAAACAAATTCAAAGCCAGTCTGGGATATGTGAGACCCTGTCTCAACAACAAAACAGTAAAAGCATAAAAGAATACATGGTAATCTTTTGTGTGTGCATGTTTGCTTGGAAAACCTTTTTATAGAATCATGTTTGTTTTTATATTCAGTAGCTAAAAATGCTTAGTCATTTGATTTGAAGTTTTGCCCTCGTGATATATTTCATTTATAAAATAAGAGTTATATTTGATGATACTGTGTATTAAATGATATTTAAGGATCCCTTTAATTTTAGGTTTTCATGGTTTTTTAATGTTTTTTTTTTTGTTTTGTTTTTTTTTCGACACAGGGATTCTCTGTGTAGCTTTGCACCTTTCCTGGACCTCGCTTTGTAGACCAGGCTGGCCTCGAACTCAGAGAGATCCACCTGAATCTGCCTCCCGAGTGCTGGGATTAAAGGCGTGCGCCACCACTGCCCAGCTTTTATTTTGTTTTAAGCAGGGTCTTACTATATAGCAACACTGACCTAGAACTCTTTGTGTAGACCAGGCTGGCCTTGAGCTCTCAGAGATCCACCTTCTCAGCCTCCATTGTTGAGGTGAGTGTTGCAACACCCAGCAAACCCTTCATTTTTAATAGTTCATAATTGTTTATTAGAATTCCTTTAAAATTCCAAATCATATTTTATAATAGCATTGCCTCCTGGGATGACTATAGACACTTACATACCTTAAAAGCTATTGGAGTGGAAAGGTTAGAAGCTAGTAGGGAAGACTTTGGAGTTATTAGTAATGTTTAGGTGTAAGCTTTCTCAGTTCGTTGTTGAGGCACCGAAGCAAGATGTAGATACACAAGAAACACTGAGAAATAGCATTGAGTGTGCACTGAATATCACACCTCACCTGAATCTGTTATGACCCATCAGTTATGAGCTGTGGGAGCTGTTAAGTGCTATAGTTTATGGACTCAGGAAAGCATATTAAAGAATTAAATATCCTTAGCACATCTTACAGCAGTCTCAATCATTAAACTTTAACGTTTAAACACTCTGAACAGCAATTGTTTAAGTGAATGGACCAATTAATACATTATTAAAGCTAATGATCTACTCAGAAATTATGTATCCTGAAAACTTTTTTTTTTTACACAGGATCTCACTGTGTAGCTCTGGCTGTCTGAAACTCACTATGTAGACCATAACAGGCTGGCCTAAAAGTGTCAGCCACCATATCTGATTTCATTCAAACTTTTGAGGAAGCTGAGCACTCAGGCCAGGGTAAGGAAGGGAGAGATAGAGGGAGGGAACAAGGGAAGGAAGGGCCGGGGAGGGAAAAAAGCAGGGAGATTGATTCTTCAAGGTAACTACTATAACCAAGTAGTTTAGTTTGGGATTTAACTTTTAAAAAATAATTTTAATCAAGCACCCCAACCACAACCTTATGAAATGATATCCATTACTATAAAGTTTGTTCATGATAATAACTAATCTTCCAAATATAACTTAAACATATTTTATCCCCTCCTCCTTTTTAGTAAGGTATCGGCAATGCAGTATTATTCCTTGTAGCAAAGATGTCGACCTAGGAATTTTTATACAAGATTACAAACCTGATATTATTTTGGCATTTCAGAATGCTGGACTTCCACTAAAACACAAGTTTGGGAAGGTTGGTGACAATGAACTTAATTTCATAAATAATGTGTCTCAGTTGTAAAGTTTACCTTAACTAACTTATACATGATTAAAAGTCTGTCAAACATAAGTTTTATCACCCAGCACTTACCAGGATGGGCTATGGAAGCTTATTATCCATTAACATTTCTATACCAGTTAAGGAAAATTTCAAAAATATGCCTTTTATTGATAATATGAAAGAAGAAACCTGGTCTCTTGTAAGTGAATGTGTTGCCATTCTTTTATGTAATAATATGGCACAAAATTAATATAAAGATAGAATCCTGCTACTCTGTTTGATGTTACATTTTTTTTCCTGAGTCGTCTAATTAAATGCTCACTTAGGATTAGATGTCATCATAATCATCAGCACAAATATGCCATCGACTGCTAATGGATAAAGATATTGAGCTATGTTTAACAAGCGCTTGAGTTTCTTCTTGTCTCACGTGTGCTAAGGTAAGCAACTTCCTCAGAGGTTAATGTGGGCAAGGGCACGGGCACTGTGGCCCAAATGATCTCTAGACAGTTTGATTGCTGTTCACAATGCCCATGATCCTTTGTGATAATGCTGCTTTTAATTTGTTCCCAGGGAATTTTTTTTTTCATTCCTGGAAAATTATTTCTACCCATTAGATGTAATCATTCTAATTTATTTTTTTTAAAAAAATAGTGTTTTCTGAGCCCAAAGCAGTAGCTTTAGTCACTGAGCAGATACTTGCTAAAGGCTGGTGTCTGCACTGCTTTGAGTAGAGCCTACAGATGGATACATTAGCGTTCATCTCCTTTAGGGTCACATAAATTACTATATGATGCTGTTGAAGACACATGCACCAAGTCTGATGTGAACTTTACTTTTAGGATAAGTTTCCTTTCCTTTCCTCCTTTGTTCAAAAGGGGCTCTGGAATTGGTGCTTCAATTTTCCCTGCAGAGTGACAGTTTTAACTACCATGAGGCATTTACTCATGAATTGTCATCATTTAAGACTCATTATTGTATATGCATTTAAGAAAGGCTAGTATAGTATCCCACTTCACAGGGATTTAAGTTTTAAAAGCATGCATCTTAGAATTAATGCTCACTGTATAAACATTTTTCTTCATTTAAAATAGGAAATGTGTTTCTGTTGTTTCAGTCCATGAAGGTTTTCGTTTTCCCTATAGGTGGAAGACAGCTTGGAACTCTCCTTCCAGGGAAAAGATGACGTCAAACTTGACATTTTTTTCTTCTATGAAGAGACTGACCATATGTGGAATGGAGGCACGCAGGCCAAAACAGGGAAAAGGTTTAAGTATGAATCAGAGAAGTACTTATTACTTTGGGGGAAGTACTTATTAAAAGGGGCTTTGGGAGTAATTTCAGAAAGGAGAAAGGAAAGTCCCCAGGACTCCATCAGCAGCTACTGTGCTCTCAGCTGACGCACAGTCCAGCTTTCCTGGGAAGTTCTCGTGAGAGCTGGCTGTGAGGATGGTCTGAGAGGAGGGAGCCTTGCCAAGGCTAGTCAACCGAAGGAGTCATGATGAAAGCTCTTGAGTTACCATAGCAAACTCACGATGCAGTTTTTCTTGGGTTCATCCATCTTCCTAGGATCCCTGGGTCTTCATCTGAAGATTGTAAAGTAAATTTTTTCTGGAGGTTTGAGAGTAATCCAAACCTTTTCCTGAAAGGAAAACTATCCAAACTATCCATCCTTAATTGACTCTGACTCTAGAACGTGTTCGTTAAACATTTATTAATTATAAAACTACTTTGCTAGATGACAACACACTCCACTCTCGTAGATTCCATGGAGTTTCTGTTGTACCAGGTTTCTACCTTGCCCCTAACATGCCCCCTTATTCCAATAGTTTCTCTCAGTATTTTCTCCCTCTCCTGACCCACCTAATCCCTCCTGTTCCCAACCCCACTAGCCCCTAATTCACCTGTAAAATCTGTTCCATTTCCCCTTCCCAGGGAGATTCTTCCCTTCAGCCCAGCTTGTAGGCCTTTCTTTTTACTTAGCCTCTCTACGTCTGTGGACAATAGCATGGTTATCTTTTAGTAAACAGCTAATATCCACTTACAAATGAGTACATACCATATTTGTCTTTAAGGTCTGGGGTACTTTGCTCAGAATGATTTTTTTTTTCCTAATTTCATCCATTTTCCTACATTTCCTGATGCCTGTTGTTTTTTACAATTGAGTAATACTCTATTGTGTACATGTACCACATTTTCTTTATCCCTTATTTGGTTGAGGGACATCTAGGTTGTTCCCAGTTTCTGGCTATTATGAATAAAGCTGCTATGAATATAGTTGAGCAAGTGTCCTTGTGGTAGCATGAAGTGTCCTTGGGGTATATGCCCAGGAGTGGTATAGCTGGATTCTGAAATAGATTTTTCCCCATTTTCTGAGAAACTGCCATATTTAATTCCAAAGTGGCTGTACAAGTTTGCATTCCCACCAGCAATGGAGGAGAGTTCCTTGCTCCTCATCCTCCCCAACATGGGCTGTCACTTGTGTTTTTGATCTTAGCCATTCAGACAATTGTTAGATGGTATGTCAGAGTCGTTTTGATTTGCATTTCCCTGATGGCTAAGAGTGTTAAGTGTTTCTCATTCATTTGAGATTCCTGTATTGAGAGTTCTCTGTTTAGATCTCTACCCTATTTTTTAATTGGATTATTCGGTTTGTTGATATCTAGTGTCTTGAGTTCTTTATATTTTGAACACTAGTCATCTGTCAGAGGTGGAGTTGGTGAAAATGTGGGCTGCTGTTTTGTTCTTTGGATGGTGTGCTTTACAGAAACTTTTCAGTTTCATGAGGTCCCATTTATTAATTGTTGATCTTAGTGCTTGCGCTTTTGGTGTTCTGTTCAGGAAGTTGTCTCCTGTGCCAGTGCAGTCAAGGCTGTTCCCTACTGTTTCTTCTGTCAGGTTTAGTGTGTTCATACAAAGACTCAACAAAGAAAGAGAATTACACACCAGTCCCCCTCGTGAACACAGATGCAAAAATACTCAGTAAAATTCTCACAAACCAAATCCAAGAGCACATCAAAAAGATCATCCACTATAATCAAATAGGTTTCATCCCAGAGATGCAAGGAAGGTTCAACATATGGAAATCTGCCAATGTAATCTACCATATAAACAAACTGAAAGAAGGAAACCACATGATCATCTCATTAGATGCTAAAAAAGCCTTTGACAAATCCAACACCTCTTCATGATAAGAGTATTGGAGAAATCAGGGATACCAGGACATACTTAAGCATAATAAATTCGATTTACAGGCAGCCTGCTTTCTTACAGAACACAGAACCTCCTGCCCAGGGAAGGCCCCACCCTCAATGAGCCTGGCCCTCCCCCATAGTCACTAATTAAGAAAATGCTCTAGAGGTTTGCCTACAGCCTGATCTTATGGAGAAAGTTTCTTATTGAGGTTCCGTTATAGTTAGGTGAGTGGGAGTGTTTTCAAAATGTTTATACCTTATTTTTCAAAATATGATAGAAATTCCAAAATTAGTGTATAATTAGTTTTTCTTTATAAGATAGCATACCATAGAAAATAAGATCATAGAGTCAGCTTTTAAATCCCAACTGTAGATGTGACAAGTGCTGTTTCCTTCAGCAATTTTCTATTTAACTTCCCTGCATATGGTTCCTCCAAGTCAAAGTGGAAATAATATTAGACATTGTCATGAAGCCATGTTGTAAGGACTAAAAATATTGTTGAAGAAAAAATATCTGAAGGGATTCAAGATTTCCTGAATGTTCTTAGCTTGTGTTAATGCCACTATAGTATTAGTGGGAAAATGATGCCTTTCATAGTCTTGTGAGAAATTTAGATATCGTCTAATCAGCGCGGTATGAGGTTGCTACATCTGTGTTTTGAGAAGTCCTGTAAAAGTGTCAGACTTTTGTCTTAAATTTCCTATCAAAGGTGAATTTTTGTTCTCAGGGTGTGATTTGAAAACACAGTCCTCACAAGCAGCGTTCATTTCAGCTGCCACATTTGTGGTAGAGACAACTTTGGTTTTCTCCCACTGCTCTTTCTAGTAGCAGTGTTGGCCAAGTGTGAAGTTCTCTGAGGAACAGGAGAAATGAGCAGTGAGAGAACGGTCTGGACAGATGGTGTGCATCCCAGATTTTCTCTCCTGTTACTGTGACCTTAGAGGCAGAGAAAAGAACAGGGGAAGGCTGTGTGGAGCCATTTCTTTGGAAGACTCCCCAGCCATATGCCACTGTCAACACCATTCACTTTAAGGAAATACAGGATTGATCACACTGCCATCTCTAAAAGGGAGGACCTGAAACTTGAAACTAGTGTGAGGGTTTTTTAAATTTCATAATAGTGTTTTTTAAACCATGTATGGTTCATGCTGAGAAAACCCTAAAGCTATAGAATGCTTAACTTTTTATGGGGCATTTACCCACCAACCCCACAGCTTCCCAGAGTTTTCTTGAGTGTGAGCAGCAGGAAATATTAGGTAGAAGGATTTATTGTGGAGAATCTTGCGGAGATACACAGGTAGAAAATAAAGGATAGCCTCGAGAGGGCCTGGAACCTTTTCCAATGGGCCCTGACTGTCTCTGCCCCAGGGTTTTTATTGAGACGCCAAGGGGTGGAGCAAAAGACCTCCTCCTCCAGCACAGCCAAGTGCAGACCATCTCAGACACCTGCACTCTGGCCCGTGGTCCCTATCATCCTCTATGCAGACCTGCTGGGTAAAGCCACGAGAAACCTAAGAACAGGCTTCCACAACTTTTTGAGGGGAACTCCATGGAAAAGCATCTCTTACCAATTATGCTTTCTGACTGGTACCTTGGATTCTAAGATTTAATAATAATTTTACTGTTAACAGCAACTGTAAAGATATAGTGACCAGTGAGTGTGTCTGCTAGGTACACTCCCCTAATAGAGTTTTAGAGAATCCTGTATCACTCTTTGATTATGTCTTCTAATGACCAGCTCAGGCTTGGGGAAGCTAAAACACACTGATGGTCAGTGACTGTCTAAAGCGGTGGACCATTAATAACAGTGCCATGATTTCACCTCTAAATAGTTTGACTCTGGCCTAAATAAACACTTGAGTTAATAGCATAAATTTGCTGATCCGTGTGAAGTATTAGAACAATACCTGGCACCCTGTAAGTATGTGTCACTGTTAAATACTGCTTCTATTCCCACTTATAGATCGTCTCTGCTGCTGCAGTTTTTCATCAGGTGATGGACTAGCACAGATCACAGACCCTTCAACATATACTGACTTGAGGAGTTACCCCCTTGGTGAGCATTTTCTTCCTGGGTATCATTCAGCCTTTTACTTCTTAGTTCCCATTAGTCTTTCATTTTTCTCCTGTTGTATCTTTTAAAGATATATGTTCTGTACCTGCTTAATTTTCAAAAGTTGTCTGTGTTTTTCATATTTGCTTTTCATCCATAGAGTCCAGATCACCAGTAATAAAAAGTGATGACAATATAAGAAGTTTTTGGGTTTTTTTTCCTGAGGGGTGTTGGAAGGGAGGGGATAATCTCTTTAATTTTCTCACAGAGTTTGTACATAATTAGCATTATTGCTTTCTAACATATTCAGTGGAGTGTACAGGTAAAGCTGTCTTAGCCCAAAGTTCATGTGGGAAGTTTTTCCTTTTTAAGTTTTTATTGCCATATATTCATGGTACATAGTAATGGGTTTCATAAAGGCCTTTTGTTTCAAACATGGGTACTTTGGTATCCCCTATAACCTCCTCTTTTTCCATGTTCCCTTAGTCCCCTTCCTTCTCTCAGTCCTGCTTCTAATCATTTTTCACACATTGTCTTAGTTAGGGTTTCTCTTGCTGTGAAGAGACACCATGACCATGGCAACTCTTACAAAGGAAGACATTTCCTTGGGGTGGCTCAATTACAGTTTCAGAGATTCAGTCCATTATAATCGTGGCATAGTGGGGAACATGGCAGGAGCATGGCAGTATGCAGGCAGATGTGGTGCTGAAGCTGAGATCAGGCAACAGGAAGTCAACTGAGACACTGGGTGGTCTCCTGAGCATAGGAAACCTCAAAGCCTACCCCCACAATGACACATTTCCTCCAACAAGGCAATACTCACCTCCAACAAAGCTACACCTCCAAATAGTACCACTCCATATGAGATTATGGGGGCCAATTACATTCAAACTACCACATTCTATTCCATGGCACTCATAAGCTTGTAATGATATCATAATGCAAAATCTATTTGAGTCCAACTTCAAAATTCCTCATAGTCTTTCATGTCTCATTAATGTTTAAAGTTGAAAGTCTGTTCTGAG